AAAAAAATGCAGCTTTGCAGTTTGGTTTTGCTTTCACCCACTACCTTTACCTATGCTTTTCTCCTTCTCTTCATAATCCCAAATATCATGACCTCCTCTGTTAGAGTTTCTTTTTATAATGTATTGTCTGCAACCTATAGATAGAAATTAATAATGTCAAAATCTAGCCAGACTGGAGATGGGAATTGTCACTACATAACACTGCTGTAAGAATGTCAGCTGCAGTTTTTAGGAGCACTCTGGAATTTTCTATAATTGTTTATTTTTAAAAGAGGAAAAATAATCTTCTGCTGTTTTTGCTATGTTTTCTTTTTCTCCACGTTATGCCTATGTGTGTTGAGAGCATGATTTTTTTTTTTTTTTCCTGAATATCTGTGGCACATCAGTTGGGTGAACAACAGAGTAACACTTTTCACTGTCTTGATTTTAAAGTACATGTCTATATCACAAAGTAACTCATATGGCTACTTAAGCTTCCATGACATCTGGATTTTACAATTGGCAATCTTTGACTGTCTGGTTGCACAGCAAAGTGACAATGAAAATACATTTAAACAAAAAGAAGGAAGAAAAAAAAATCTGCTTTAAACATTTCTCTTTTTGTTGTTGTTGTTGTCAGACAACACAAGCATGATGGTTCTACAACAACCTCACAATATAATGATCTAATCCTCTGAAACCAAAGCTCCAAAGGCTATGTGATTATTTTTAAACTGCCTGCCAAGATCCTGGAGTATGATAATTAATGAACTTTAACATATGTGACAAAAATCCTAATTGAAGTAGAAGGGGTGCAGGGAGCATTAATGAGATGAAACTGATTTTTTTGAAGCATGAGTTTTGAATTGTTCAATTTTATCTTTAATTATTAGTTTTAGGGGATAGCCTTGAGAAGTTCAGTGACATTCATGGCAGAATTGGAGGCGTGGGGAACTGTGGAGAGAGACAATATCCCCTTAAGAGAGTTTTCAATGAAGTTGCCAATCTTGCAAGTCTTCTCTGTTTTTTGCGGACTCAGGCCCTAGAAAAAAAAAAGAAATGGTGAAAAGCATGAGGAGATGAAACAGCTTGGGTGTACTTCACAAACAGAGTAGGCAGGAGAGGCAGGAACAGGATACAGCTGTTCTGATGCCTAAGCCCAAGGCACAACCCTTCAGGCCTTACTGACTCTTACCCTTCAGCACTCCCATTCATATTTACAATGGAAATGTGATTG